TTGTTTGGATACATTTATTTTCTTACTTTACATATTACTGTTTTGATAAATGTGCTTACATGTGTTTAGTACAGTATATGCTCTTCTTGTTTTATCCGGTTCATTTTGTGTTTAAATGCTAAAAAAGACATATTTAGGTGTAATTTTTTGTGGCCGCGAACCAATGAATTAGTTTTCGATTATTTCTTATGGGGAAAATTCGATCACGAACTTTTTAAGATTCCATCCGGAGTTCTGAACGGATTAAATTCGAGTTCTGAGGTACCACTGTACTTTTAAGAATTTAGAACTGGGTACAATGAGCAACTTAAATATTGTTGCAAAATGTCTGCTGAACAGCCGGTGTTACAGTCTTGCGGGGGGAGTGGGGTGTATGTAGAGGCCTCTGGCATACAGCAGTATTACAAAGTGAATGCATCACTGTTCTCAGATGCTTTGGGAATGTTAGCCGAATGTCGTGGGAACGTTATGCGAGCGTCACGTGAAGACACTACCAAAATATCAGGAGGGAAAAGTCCTTCGTTATTTGGATCTCTGATGGTGCTGTGATGTTCCTAGCTTAATGCTCATACTTAAGCAACGAAGTTTGTCTCTGCGCCTCGACACCTATCTCCTGCATCCTCGGAGCGTGAACTGAAAAGGAGCCGTGATAATTGCAGCCCTCGCTAAGTGTGTTTTGCCTTGTTGGTGATTGTTGTGATTGTCTTTTAGGGGGATGCCGTCCTCCATTTTAAAGGCTGTGGTTCGCTTGCTGCGGTATGAGCATAAATTGTAGATAAACTTTTGCGTATGTTGTTGTGGGATGAGATGCCCCTAGTTTAATGTTTGACAGTGGTGGATCCATAGGTGATGTGGTGAGCTGCTAGACAGCTGTGTTGGCCAGGGGGCTGAAACACTGCCATCTATGGGTGGTACAGCCAAACAATCTCCATTTAAAATCACATAGTACCTGATTTAGGCCGCTGGTGGGGATTGTATCTATCATGAGGGCCTCCACTCCCCTCTATAGCACTGCTTGCAGGAATGAGTAGTGAGGGTAGGGGGCTCCTCTTATCCCGTGCGTGTATGTTTGTCTGTGTGTGTCAGACGGAGCTGGAGAACTTGGAGGCCACGCAGGGCATGTCCTCAGAGACAGCCGTGACCTTCCTCAGCCGCCTGATGGCCATGGTGGATGTACTGGTGTTCGCCAGCTCCCTCAACTTCAGCGAGATCGAGGCTGAGAAGAACATGTCCTCTGGGGGCCTGATGCGGCAGTGCCTGAGGCTGGGTGAGTGTGTGGCGTCTGTCTGTCTGCATGGCTCTGTCTACCTGTTTGTGTTCCCCTGTGTGTGCCTGTCCGTGTATGTCTGTTTGTGAATGTCTGTTTGTGCGCATCTGCCTGTCTACCTGTCTGTCTGTATGTGTGCATCTGTTGGTCTGCATCCATCTGTCTGTTTGTCCACCCATCTGTCTGCCTGTTCATGTGTTCATCTGCCTGTCTGTCTGCCAGCCTACGTCTGTCTGTTTTTCTGTGTACTTCTGTCTGCCTGTCTGTCTGTGTGCATCAGTGGCTGTCTGTCTACATATGTCTGTGTGTGTGTGTGTCTGTATGTCTGTTTGCCTGTCTGCCCATCTGTCTGCCTGTTTGTGTGCATCTGTATGCTTCTGCATCAGTTTGACTGCCTGTTTGTCTGCGAGCGTCTGCCTACCTGTCTCTACCTGTCTATCTTTGTGCATCTGCATCTGTCTGTCTGTGTCTGTCTATGATACTGCGTGGGAGGTCCGTGTGTGTGTGTGAGAGAGAGAGAGAGTGGGTGTATTCCCAGCCTTTACTTGTTTAATCTTCCAGCCTGACTAATTTGCCTTTAAGGATGCATGATTGGTGAGGAATCATGCGTCTTGCATGGCTGCTTTTAACTTTTCTCGCGTTGAACGGTCTTGGGGGGGTGGGGGGGGGGCTCTGTGTCTGCATATGATGTGGGGAATAAACACAGTGTGATGTGACTTAAGCATCACTGGGGAGAGAAAAAGAGAGAATGAGAGAAAAAGAGGGCGAGAGAGAGACCGGTATGTCCTCCATGGGCATTATGAGAGCCTCTGCTTTGTTTTGCTGTCAATCTGTAGTTAAAGCCAGAACTTCCCATTGGGGTGGGATACTGGGATACTTTTTATTTATTGATCTGTCAGTGCCCTGGTACATTACTTTCTTGTGAATTGCTGTACATCCTCACTAATATTTAGGCTCGCTATGGAACGGTGCTTCCTGCCACTGGGGTTTTGCATATGTTAGCAAATCAGTATGTGTCCATCCTTTTATTAATAGGGTCTAGATCATGATTAAATAGACACAGTAGAGAAGTTAAACTTTCATGAGGGGTAAAATGTTCGCAGGACTGACTGATCAAGCAAGAAATCAAAGGTGAGATTGCAGTTGAATGTAATTCATCTATTTTTAACGATTTTTAGATATAGATGAATTATATGGAGCGCTTTGGCGGCGCTTGACCGGGATTTCGGCTGCTAAGGGGTGACCCTGTAGTCTCTTTACTAATGACTGTTCTTTATTAAGTTTAACAGTTTAGTAATGACGCTTTCTGTCTTTCATGTAATGGTTCTGACTGTTTTTAATGGGTGCGCTCCTATGTAGATTAATAGTCCTGCCTCTGTTTCGTGATGGCCTCCAGTGTCTCTGTCACAATGGCCGTGCCTCTCCCCAGTGTGCTGTGTGGCTGTGAAAAACTGCCTTGAGTGCCGGCAGCGGCAGAGGGACAGGACTGTGAAGCCATTCCTCCCCAACAGCAAGGCCCCAGACAATCTGCAGAGCTCCACAGCGGCCGGAAAGGTGCCTGCATCCACAGTGCCACCATGCCCCCCCCCAGCCTTGTTTCAGCATCACAGACACACCCGGCCTCTGCATATGCAGAGCATGTGAGCGGAGCGGAGCGGTGAGAATTTCCGCTCCTCGCTCACGAGGCTGTTGGCTCCGCCCGCTCCTCCGCTCTAATTCGCACTAAGCCGCTCCGCTCAACACCGCTCCTCGCTCCACTAAAATGTCCTCCCGCTCCAGTCAAATCGCTCCACGCTCGCTCTAATTTAAAAGAGGGACAAATAATCTGCATGCCTAACAAACATCACCTTAAACCGAAGCCTTATATCATAAAGAAATGTGAGCAACGGCAACATTGCCACTCAGAACAGAAATATTTATTTTTAAGCAACATATAGGCAACAACAGATAGGTTTGGCAATGTCATTCCACACAAAAATAGGCTTTAAAATAAAGGAAGCAGTGGGCTTAATAGCCTAAAGAATATACAGGCTAAGCATCCACGTTTTAAATTCCTCAATTTTTTTCTGTTGATGCTGC